TTTTAAGTTTCTTGGCATTTCCGTTCGTACTACATAATCTGATAGGTTTCAAGACTTGGTAGGATAAGTACAACTTTTGGGACATTCTGTACCGACGTTCTGTAGTCAGTCAGAGAATGGATTAATTTTCCCAAGAAGTAGGGCGAGACGGTTGGTTGTTGCACCATAAAAGAGAAACACTAGCAAAGCCAGCAGCTGTCGCTGTGTGAGACAGACGATAATCAGATGCTTTAGTCAGTGTTCCGCAGAGCAGTCCTTTTTGAAAAGCTGGCTACGGCTCACCTAGTCACGAAACTCATGGAAGTCATGTTTCATTACCGTGTTTGCGAGGGCCCCATGTCGCCCTGCTTTATTAAAGCTCGCCGAAATTCTATTTTTTCAGCGCCTGCGTTTCTTCTCTTTCATAGGGAATGTATAAACAAATGAAGCTTGTATTGTTGTACGTTTGGATGGTTCTAAATTAATGTATTCCTGCGTGGGTGGGCGGTCGGCTGAACTTGTACGAAATGTCGTGACCGACACGAACGAATGGGAATGGCACACGGAGAGAGAAATAAATACAAATGACGTCTGATGCGCGCTTGAAGTAACTGAATACTTTATACACCAACTCTCGGAAGCTGGTTGGCCCACGAGGACACGTGACCCTAGATGCGCATAAGCGTCCAAAAGTCTGCCACGGTCCTTTGTTTCTGCCGTTTTAGCGTGGATGTTTCTTATGCTACTCGCCTGACATATATATATAGAGAGACAGCCTGCTCTACTCTCAAACCCAAAATTGATCAAGTGACACGTTTGATCGGATTTAATTAGAACAGCGCAGTAAACTGTTTCCTTCGGAAAATAGTTTTGGATTGACCACCTCGTGACCCCAACGGATACAAATTTTTTACCAGCGTGTTTTGTATCTTCGCCCACGTGTTCGAGAATAGACAAAACTACGCACAGCTATACTGTGTACTCACAGTCTGGACTTGATCTATGTAGACATGTTTTCAGAGAAGATAAACAAATTTTAGTAATATCCCCGCCAAAATTACTGAACCACAACCTGGAGCTTTTACATTTTAAATTATATTTGATATTAGCTTAGCTCACTTGTCGTTGGATCCTTTCAAAAAGGTTATGTATGAGAATTTATGAAACTCTAAAATTATACTGTAATCCAAGAAAACATTTTCGTAAACAAGACACGGAGACCTTCATATTTATAGCATGTAACGGGATTAAGTGGTGAAAATATATCCGCATCGGACATACTGTCCACATGTTAGATGCATGCTCTGAAGTGATTATATAAGGGCAATTTAGTTATTTGTCTTGAGCATGAAAGCGAAAAACGGCATTTGTGACGTGAACGACGCCTCGTAGTGGCAGCTCAGTGGCTCAACGGAGTCAAAAGTGGGAACATTCCTTCGTTTAGTGTCTTCGCTGGAGCGAAAATTGAACTCCGATCTGTATTTGACTTGCTCATGAAATAAAACAGCTCTCAAGGAAGTTGGAAATGGTAAGATACATCTGAATGTTTACTGAAGTCTTGCCCTACTTAGGTCTACTACGAAATCAAATCCTGAAGCAAGCAGTTGAAAGTGATAAGGGCACTCAAAGGTAATCCGCATCCTTATCGGATCTCTTGGTCGGGAAAGATTCCGGTATGTTAAGTGTTGCAGAACGTTTATGGTATTGGATTCTTACCGCCATTCCTTATACGTTCCACAGAGGGTTTTTCGGCAAGTAGCATATATCCTGCTTTGAAAAAGATGCAGAATCGTACTATGTAATAAATGACTGGATGAAAACCGTTTGCTTTTGAGAACGCGTTTTGAAAACATTGAAGTAAATCGGACATGACAAATACATTGATAGGCTTATATCTCAAAATCGATAAGACGCCCTAGTTTAATTTCAGTCTTACCGCGCATTATTTATTATTGAATACAATAAACAGTATTCTATACGCTCAAAACATTGTTTTTGGGTGAACGAGAGGGACAATTGCGATATTGCGATCTTTGAACGTAATAGGGTGCGAGGTATGGACTGGGTTCATCTGGCTGAGGATAGGGTCCTGTGGCGGGCTGTTGTGAACACGATGCTAAACCTTCGGCTTCCATAAAAACTGCGGAAATCTTTACCAATTGAACGACTGTTGGCTTCTTCTTCATGTGCTTTATAGTCAGCGTACCAGACGTGTGTTGTGTGGCATGTCGCTGTCACCATAAACAATGCAGTAAAGGTTTGAAAGTGAGCGACTAAAGTTTTATGTTTTTGCAACTTCGAGACCTCGAATGTCGATGAGTTTGCATTGTAATCCTGCATACTAGTGTGGATTCGTTGCATTGGGGTATATAGAGACTATTTGATGTAAGTCTTTTGATCTTTTAAATAGGCAGATTCATAGGACGTACGTGGGTTATTTCTTTGCATTTGTTGTTTATTAAAAGGCGCTGTCAGTAACGCAGTATGGTCGAATCGTTGAATTATAGATAGGATGATTGATGGATTAGAAAAAATGTGGTAGCAAGATGTCGTGGCCTAATTTTAGGTATCATATTATCCTTACAGTTGTCTGGAGGAACTGAGGCAACCCACGAAAAACCCCAGTCAAGACAGCCAATTATCGGCCTGAAATTTGAACCTGAGACCTCCCGAATACAAAGAAGGATCGGTTGCTAACCGCGTCGTTCGGTGAACGCAGGTTGTAACGCCTCTGTAATGAAGATTTTATTGTAGACGGGCTACAACAGGGCTCACCACACAGTGTGTTTACATTGGCCGGGGGAGGGGGGAGACCGAAATGAAACTGTATATAAGCCTAAAATTAGTAGAAGCATGTTCAGTTCAAAATTTAAAGTAATTTTAACGTCGTATTTCACGTTTGTGATTTCTGTCGGGAAGATATTTGTGCAGTTTCCTGATAACGTCGACATTATTTTTCAAAAATATTTCTTTAAAAGTGCTTCGAAGTGGCTCGGTGTTTGTAGTACATTCGTACTTGTTGGTGACAGGTGCCGAGTTATTGTTTGAATAACAAATGTGTGCCGATATCCGAAACCAATCCGTGTCTCTTTATTGAATATTTGCCAAGATGACAGCCAGATGACCTTGAAAGCCACACACAATTTTCTGTTGCTTGTTTTTGAAATGTTAACTGTTTTGTTTTATCCCATCTTTCATTAATACTTTTGTTATGATAATGTGTTTTTTTCTTTTCATTTCATATTTTGCCCTCCGAGTGTTACAACTATAGATTTTTTTGTTATTTACTCATCATATCAGTTACAACATGTGTTTTGAAAATGTGTTCCGCGTGCCCATGAGGTAACGTTATGGGAATTTTAGTATTTTCACGGTTTTCATTCCAGCGCTAGTTCGTAAGGACGTTTATATTTATATTTTAAATCCAAATGCTGATGTGCACTCGTGAAGTAATTAATCGCCCTCAGAAACGCAAGCCGTAGTGTCTATCCGACTCTGCTATCCAGATTTTCGAAAGCTTAATTACGTTTTCTCTTATACAAACGTAACTCGTAGAGTAATTTGGCCTCTTTTCGTATAAAGGAAGAACTGAAACTTCAAGTGTAGTCTCTTGTCCAAACTGTTTTCGGTGTTTCGCCATGACTTGTAGTACGCATGGGGGAAATGAGAAATGCATACAGACTTATAGTTGGAAGACGTGAATGACAGACACAACTTGGGAGACCTCGTTGTAAGCGGGAAGTCGACATTAAAGTGAATTTTTAAAAATAAGTTTTTGAAGGAGTGGACTGGATTCAACTACTCTGGATAATGATCATTTGAATGCTGTTGTGAGCGTGTCAGTGCCCATAAAAGACGGGGAATTTCCTGAATAACTGGGCGATTATCAGCTTCTTAAAAAGGATTACTGTTGTGTTTAAAAAATTCACATTATTTCCGTTTTAAGTATCATGCGGAAGTATTTGTACATTCTGTGGCGAATTTATACCCGCGTTTCTTGTTTTGATGGGAAGTTCCAGAAGAGTTCCACAGCCTAAAGTCGGGAATCAGTGACTGCCAGAATAGGAGAGCCGTACACATACGTTTTCAGTCTTCCGCTTCGAGTAGACAATGATCATGAGTGTTACCTGTGAGGGAGGTTCTGTTATGATCAGTGCATTGCGCTCATTACTATCTGGAGTATTTATACTTGTATTAAATCTTAACTTTTATTAGGCAAAGGAGTATGAAACGTAACTAAACTGATAGGAGTATGCAACTTCTCTTTATTCGCACTTGGTTCACAAAGCTCCTCTTACTGTAATCTTAACTTCATCTGACAGCTAAATTATCTTACGTTCTAGCAAAGACTGTCATTATGTAATTCAATTCCTTACTAAAAATGTGTTTATTTGGAAGAAAGAAGAATATCTCTCGATTCTTCAAACATTTCCTTCGGTTTCGTTGTGCCGGTAGTGCCACATAGTTTGGTCGTTTACAGGAACTAACGTAATAATAAACAATGATTTAAGCATCCCCAATAAGTAACGCACTGTATTGAAAAGGAGTTTGGATAGCTATTTATATAACCGAAACTTAAAAAGTAAAGGTGAATTAAGAGTTGATTCCTTCACCTTATGTGCATGGCTAAACCGCTGTGATGTGGCCCGCAGGGATTGTTCGTAATCAGGGAAAGTACCGCTTGAAGGTGATACTGGTTTTGAAAAAAGAGGTGCGCTGTGCCCTTAGTACTCTGAAAACATAGTCGCTGATTGTGTCTAAACGTAATATGTCCCCAACAGCTGATCTACAGTTTGAAATATCGATACATTTGATGGTCTATGGAGTGATTCATTTTCCACGAAAGTAATTTCTTTTGTTGCACCACTCTGTACGTGGCTCGCGTCTCGTGCCAGCAAGTAGGCAGCGTAACACTGACCCACATTCTCATTACAGATGTTCGTTCTGTGAAATTTACGCAGTGGAGGGAAAACCTTCTAATCAGACATTGCGTAATTGCTTTTGTGTCTTCGTGTTTTCAGCGTTATCACCGAGATGCAAGTTTTTAGACAAAAAAAACTCATCATACAGTCTTAGTGAGACGAGCATGAAGACCGAATAGTTTCATCCAGTATGAATTGTCGTACTTTTATTGTATTGCCGTGTCGTCGTAGATTGTTAGAAGTTGTAGTGTCTGAAGTTCCAGGATAAGTCGCTTTGTCTCGCTCTTTTGTTACTGAATGTTAGTAATTCCCCAAACTATATTTCTGAAGGCTGCGTGTTCCATCATAAATATAAATATCCAGCCAGAGACCAAAAGGCATAAGCAAGTGCATTAATCTGAATGAGTTTCAAGTCTCACCTCGTTCCATCGGTGTAGCTCTGTTCTGTTACTACAGTATCTAGGTAGGACAGTGGTGTTTGTGAAGTGTTCTGTAGTTAGATGTGGAATCTGTGAATTTTACGGCTCTGACCATGGAAACGGAATGGTACGTTCATGTATCAGACGACGAACGAGACAGAATGAAAGAGAAACCATCTCCTCTCCTCGAAAATAACAATCCTACTTCAAAGGATTCCGACTCACCAAAACAATGGAGTACTTCGTCCATCCCTGGTCTTGTAAGCCTGGAGGAATCCATCATTATGGAACAATGCCCTACAAGCCCAGTGGACAAACGTGGTCGGCGAAAATCTTGGCATATCAAGATGGAGAGGAAGAGACGTAAAGGTGTGATGGGCGGATCTCCAGGCCACGGGGGTTCCGGCGAGAAACTGTCAGATCGACATAAGAGGCCCTCCTGGTGGAATATTTTCATGCCTGACCACTGGCCTTCACGGTGAGCTCATTAACACATATGATTTGGGTTAGCTTTTATCTCTAGAATTATAAAATAATTAGATTAATTAATTAATCTAAAATATTGTAATGAACTAACACATACTTAACAGGTTGATATTTTAGTTCAGAGGGCAATATTCAGAAATATGCAGTATATTGGAAACTGTTTGTAATGGTAACTTTTCAGCGTGAGAGAATGTTTCTATTTGTACATGTCACAAATACAGGATTTGTATGCTGTGTTTTAAAGCGGAAGGGCGTCATGTTTAGTACGACAGGTAAAATAACTCACTCGCCCGTTATTCTGAGCCGTTTGGCATTCTAGAATGTCTATTAAAATACGTAATTTTGGAAATTAAATTAATGGTATTGACGGATATAGAGTTGTTATAACTATTAAGTGATCTGTTGGGTTTTGAGGAGCGACTGATAACAGACTTTTCAGCTATTGTATGTGATTGTAATGGGATTAGATTTAGTTCAGTGAGCACACAGTATGTTCAATTCTAAAGGGTTTTGACGACGGTAGATTGGTAGATTACACTTAAAATTATTCGTTGTCAGGACTTTTTCCATCGTCTATTCTTTAAAACCCACTACGTTTATTGCGGTTTCATTACTGGTCGTTTTTAGAGCTTTATGAGCGGTCTTATTATTTTATTTTAGCATATACGTATTATAATCTGCTGACATAACCTGTACTTAGGTGGATATGTTGAGATAGGTGGACGATATATATTGTCCAGTGACAAGAGACTAACTCTATATAAGGGACCCAACAGAGTAGGTACCTCTCACCTGAAGACGGAGACAGAACCAGCCTCCGACGACGGAAAAAGTCCTGACAAAGAAATAATACACAGTATGTTGCTTGATGCTTCTGCAAAAACCGCTAATGCAGCGTCTAAGTACGCTGTTCCCGGTTACAGAGAAGCTTTCTATATATATATATATATATAAAAAAAACACGTGGACAAATATTGGTAGGGATATAGATATGCTGAGCTTGTCTTGAAAATTAAAATCCTACATTAAATTTGTTTTTCTTTCTTCTTTGTAAACACCACAAATACTTGCTGGCGCGTCTGTTCACGTTTAACAGTGCCATGTTTTCCACATGACATGCTCCAGTCGATTTCACTCCACGTTTAAATGACGTGGCGTATTTTAAGGCCTCGACTGGAAAGAAGAAAAAGTTTTGAAGATGGCTATCTTCCGAGTTGTTGCGCCGTGTTGCCTGGTAGAAATTTATCGACATTTCAGATCGCTCTGTAGCTTGTAGCGTCTTTGGAGTGCTGTTTATGAAATGCATGAAACCTCTATCGAGGCTTTTGTATGACAATGGAATATAACATGACCATCGCGCGAAAAATGTTCTGGTCATCGCTTGATTTAGGCGTGTCACTGGTACTTGACTTTGCAGTTTGATCTGTGACGTAATTACTGTTGGAATTGTAACAGCTGACTAGAAGTGATACACTTCGGAATCTTTCAATTCAGTATTTATTATTACTGTGCTAAGTCTGGTGTGCCAAAAGTCTTATGCTGGTACCCAACGTCGCTGTCGTGTTGTTAGCGTGTGTTCTCCATATTCCGAGGCCCCATGTTCCAATCTCGGCCACGAAACTGGCTATTCTGAGGTGTTCATAGTTTTCCTTAGTATTTTCATGCAAATGCTATGGCAGTCCTTAAGTTAGGCCACGGCCGCTTCCTTTGAATCCTTCTGAGTCTATTTACTAATCCTGTAATTCGATACTATATCATTTAAGCATACGAATGTGTCGTAAATAAACCATGAATAAACAAATCCTCAGCTGGCATTCCAAAATAAAGAAAATACGAGTGAAACGTTTGCTAAGTGGATAGTATAGTTGAACTGTATCTGTAGAAAACCAGGTGGACCGTCTGCAAGAAATAAATTACTTGTTCTAACCCATCTTTTCGTTTATAGGCTCGAGTATCCACGCCCCCGCTTCCCACCAATGGTGGAACTTCCTATTGGATTAAGTTCTAACAACAATAAGGAATCCGTGGTTGCATTTCGTTTCGTAATCTGTATAAGCCAAAACTGTTTCATAACAGCACAAATTCTAAGGGTTCGCTGGCACGTTTCTAGCAATTTCTCACAAACATGCGATCGAAGGAAAGTTGGAAACAATGTAAGGCCTACTATGTTGTGGTCTCATTCTTTGTTCTTGTGGATTTATGCTGATTTTCAATTTAATGGTGTTGAAACTGCATTGTTTACTTTACGGTACTGTGTTGCGCCACTCCGAATGAGAGTGCCTTAGAATGAGGCAGGCGCATCATTCCCCTATTCAATCGGATACCACACACGTACTTTGCAAGTTGATGCTAAGTCGTTAACTCAAAACGGAGTCTTTACCTGAGACATCTAATTCACAAATAACACATAATTCCTGGTTCAGTTACGTTCTTACAGATTTCACAAATCGAGTTTCACTTAAATCTGTCAGTTGGAACAGGAGTAGGGCCCGGGCCACTCGAATTTCTCTTCGTTCTTAATACTGCAATTTAAGTGGCATTAAACTGTGACATTTTCTAAAGGATTTCTTATGTAATTCTTAAACTATGATTCCAGATACCATTTGAGTGCCCAAACGATTATCGATGTACAATAAAACTGTTACTTCCATGTTTATAAGTGGAATATATGAACGAAAGTGGAATTTTTCCGACTGTTTTCAGAACAGACGTGCCTTCTCCGGGCGATCTGGGAGATAAATGTGGACATGACCTCATTATATGTAGAGCTCGCGGGTTTTTTTTAAACGAAGAACAGGACGTGCCTGACTTGCATTCTGGAGATCCTGTTACCGGCTATGTTACTAATTGAGATTTGTTGGGTTTTCCGAAGGTCAGTGACATAAAACTAGCAGCAAAACATTTTTAATGTCCTGAAGTAGGAAATAATAACTTATATTCATCATCTTTCGTATCCATGCGCTTTGAAATTATCGTCCACGCGGGTAAGTTTCTATTTAATTTGTAACCTCATCCTCATTTGTTACTTTTATACACGACACGCTTCTGACAAAGTGTAACATGTAACTTGTACATGTATTTCACGTTTTTGGTTTAGCTGTTTGTGCGTGGTATCTTGATGGTGTGTCAGAGGCCTGTTTATACAGCAGGTATAATTTAATAAAAGGTCCAGATATATGACAGTAGTGGTGTTCCTCCTTATCGATATTACAGCACGCCACGACTTCACGTTTATGTGAAATAACCACGTCGCACAGATAATGTTGAAAGTAAGCTTTTGACGAGTGTGTTATGAAGCTTACCGGACTTAATTACTAGCTTTACTTTTCAGTTCCAGTTCTAGGAAGTGAACAAAGTGCAAATAGAACTTCTTATGCCCCACAACTTACAAGTTCTTATAGGATTTGAGGTTTTCACGGCGGTGAGTCTGAAGATGGCTGTAATCTGGGTTGTTGTTCCGTGTAGACTGGTGGGAGTTTACCGACGTTTCAGAGGTCCTTGCTGCCTCCATCATCAGGGCGAAAGGAGATATGATTCATCTAGCTTTGTAAAGAGTACAGTGAACAAGGCAATGAACCATAGGTTTCCATAAAATGTTGGTATTTCTTGAATAGTTGAGTGATCATCAGAGTTTCAGGATGTGTTTTTCCATAGTGTTTGTCAGTGAGGAATGAAATTGAATGTGATGATGACGCTTGGCAGATCGAAATGTGCCACTCTTGTTACGTGCCTACTGAAACGGACGCGGAAATGGTGGTTGCAGCCGGGACATGTTTGTGGTTCTCTACGCAAGTTGTCATTCCGTTTCGTGATCGCAAGGCAGACTGTTGTTATCGCCTTTTGTAATTTCTAAACCCGAAGCACCTCGTCTGATTCCAGTGACCCTCATTGGTCGTTCCTGTTTCAGTGGTATTCTTCGTCTCCTTTTCGGTAAACACCAGACTGTTGAAATAAAAAGAGTATGAACGTGTTCTGTGGATCCGAACTGTTTAGCAGTGCGGGACGAAATACGGCGGGAGAGGGAGGAGCTGGAATTAGGAAATGCGACAGAATCAGTTCATATCTGATGTACGCAACTATTATCCGTCCTGAAAAATTAATGACAGTCGCCAGCGCGGCGAGAGCCGGCGACTGACTGCCTGTGCTCTTCTGCTGCATGGACAGAATCTGCCATTAATGAACTATATTCCTGTTTGGCAATACCTGACTAGTGCCAAAAGAAATTACCATGTAGTTTTCGCGAGAAATGCTAACTTGGCAAATATTTTAATTCTGAACAATGGGTATATTTAAATCTCTTTGTCACCTCCTCCATCACTGTTTTCTTACTTTCAGGGCTAAACAGGTCGGACCCACGCAGTAAAGAGACA